CTTCTGATTTTCCCTGAATTAAGAGGATGCAGCAAACCAGAATTCCTGCCCCAGTTAAACAGCTCCTTCCCCCACTAAGCCCAGGTTCTTAAACCCTTTAAAGCTCAGCCTGGGATTCTCTCACCTGTTTAACGAGCACTTGAGAACCTCCTGCAATTTAACTCCAGGATAAAAAAAACCCCACAAACAAACAGGGAAACAATTCCTCCAAAAACCCACGGGTTTTTTACCCTTCCAAGCCTCCCAAACCTCACCTGTATTACTAAAGGTTTGAGCTGGTTGGGCTCTGGCCCTTCCAGGATGCATCCGAAGGCCATCACGGCCGCGTCCCGGTACCTCCAGTCGGGATTCTTGATGTGCTCCTTGATGAAGGGCAGCACGTGGGGGACGATGTCGTCCTCGCAGCACGTGGCCAGCAGCATCAGGCACACCCCAGCAGCCTTGCAGGGGTTCCAGTCGTCGTCGTCGTCGTTCTCATCCTGGAAAAAAGCGCCGGGAACGTCCCTGAGCACCCGCGGGATTCACGGAATTCACCCACGGGATCCACGGAATTCAATCCATCCCAGTCTGGCAGAGGGATTACTCACACCCTCTGCACCTTCCCAACCTGGAGCAAAGCTCTGCTGACACACCTGGAGGGGCCTCACCTGCTTTCCCAACTCCCTCTCCCTCTCATCCAGGCGGAGGTTTTATCCCCTGGATCCGTTATCATCCATCCTGGAGTGATTCCCTAGGGATTTTTGGCTCTACGAGCCTCCAAAAGCAGGTGATGTCCTTCTAATTCTCCTTAAATTGAGGTAAGAATTCCTGCTCCAAATAATCCAGGTTATTTTGGTTCTACAAACCTCCAAAAATGGGTGACATCCTTCTGATTTTCCTTGAATTAAGAGCATGTTCAAAGTAGAATTCCTGCTCCAAATAATCCAGGTTATTTTTGGTTCTACAAACCTCCAAAAATGGGTGACATCCTTCTGATTTTCCGTGAATTAAGAGGATGTGCAAAGCAGAATTCCTGCTCCAAATAATCCAGGGATTTTTGGCTCTACAAACTTCCAAAACTGGGTGAAATCCTTCTGATTTTCCCTGAATTAGGAGGATGTTCAAAGCAGAATTCCTGCTCCAAATAATCCACGAATTTTTAGCCCTACAAGCCTCCAAAACCAGGTGATGTCCTTCTGATTTTCCTTGAATTAGGATGTTCAAAGCAGAATTCCTGTTCCAAATAATCCAGGGATTTTTGGCTCTACAAGCCTCCAAAAATGGGGTGATATCCTTCTGATCTTTCCTGAATTAAGAGGATGTGCAAACCAGAATTCCTGCTCCAGTTAAACAGCTCCTTCCCCCACTAAGCCCAGGCTCTTAAACCCTTTAAAGCTCAGCTTGGGATCCTCTCACCTGTTTTGTTTAACAAGCACTTGAGAACCTCCTGCAATTTAACTCCAGGATAAAAAAAACCCCACAAATAAACAGGGAAACAATTCCCTGGATTCACTCAGAGCACTTTTCCCAGCCAAATGAACTCTGTCCCGTACAGCTTAATTAACAGTTTTATTTTCTAATTAGACCTGCTGCAGCAATTCCATTAGTTTTGATTAGCCTGGGAAGCACAGCCCCAAACAAGTCCCTGGGAAGTGTTTAATGGGCACTAAATAAACACTCCAGGCTCAAAGATTCCAGGAGCTGGATCTCAGAATGTGCAACACCGGGTTTAATTCCATCGATATTTCCTTAGGAACACAGGGAATTATCACCAGACCTCTCCAGAAATCACAAATGCAGGGATGTGTGAACAGAACCGAGCAGGGAAAAAGCTGCTGGAGGCAGTTCCAGAGTCTCAGTCCCAAAACTGATGCATCATTTGCTCAGAGTGGTGCATGAAATCTCATCACAGACCGAGGAACTGCCACCACCTGGAGCCCCTCCGGGAGCAGGGGGAGCAAGAATCCCCTTCCCAAGGCAGCCAGGAAGGAGCACCCTGATCCCAGAGCTCCAAACCCCCAGGAATTCTGAACTCACCCTGATCCCAGAGTTCCAAACTCCCCAGGAATTCTGAACTCATCCTGATCCCAGAACCCCCCAGGAATTCTGAACTCACCCTGATCCCAGAGCTCCAAACCCCCCAGGAATTCTGAACTCACCCTGATCCCAGAGCTCCAAAACCCCCAGGAATTCTGAACTCACCTGCTTGGTCAAGGTCTGTGTGAGGATTGGGACCAAATACTGCAGGGCCCCCTTGGCATAGAACTTGCTGGTGTGCTCTGGAGGCCTCCCTTGTTCTGCTGCCTGGAAAAAAAAAGGGGTAAAAAAGGGGGTTTTCAGTGGCTGAAGAGGTTGAATTTATTATAAACTCCCTTTAAAGTTATTATGTAATATACATAAAATATAATAAAATATATATATATTATATAAATAATATATATAAAAATAATATATAAATAAAATATAAATAATATATAAATAATATATATTACATATAAAAATTATATACATATAAAATATATAATATATATTACAATAATAGAACATTATACATCATGTTAGGCACACTATGCATTATATTATATATTATACATTATATATATAATGATTACATTATATTATACATCATATTTTAACAGATATTGTACATTATATTATAAATACTATTATATTATAAACACTATTATAATTATATACTATTATAAATACTAATCTATCCATGACACTAATAGTACAATATGTAAATATATATTACTAATATACAATATATAGTAGAAAAATAAATTATTATTATTATTATTATTATTATTATTGTAGTTGTTGTTATTATTAATTCTTATAAACCCCAAATTCCCTTTCCATGCTTTCCTCTCCCTCCCCAACACAAATCCAAAGCCAGGAAGCTCAAGGACACCCTGCACCCAAATCAAATATTCCAACACCCAAGCTGAATTTCCCATTCCCTGCACGCCCAGATCCCTCCTCCCAGGGCACAGTTATCCCTATTTTCAGTTCCCAGGTCTAATTAACAAGTGGCCCCGAGGTGAAGGAGCAAAAGGTGCTCAGCAAACCACCCCAACCCCACGTGCTGCTGCCTGTCCTTTTCTCCTTGCCTTTTTTTTTTTTTTGGGAGCATTCAACACAAATATATATTTAGCTGCTTTTAAAGATGGAAATGATTCATCTCCAGCCCTTCAAAGTTTCAGCTGTTATTGATCTCTGCAGCTCATTTCTGCAAACAGCATCTGCATGCAGAACAATACCCCCCAAAATCCAGCCCCAGCCATTCCAATGGGATAATTACTTTTATTCCACTCATAGTTTTATATTTAACTCGTAAATAATGGGCTGTGTAGAGTGGGATCAATCCTTCTGCAGGCTGGGGTAGGACTGAGCCCCTCATGGCTGCGACAGACCCCAAAATTTAAGGGTACAGAGTCCCCCAAAACAGCAGGTAATGACAGAACTGCTCTGGATTCCTTGGGATGCATCAATACAACGACTCCAAGAGCAGCAGCTCCAAGATCTGAGAATTCCCTGGCCTGGAGAACATGCTTGGTGCACATTTAGGTTAACCCTGGAGCTGGAGCTGGCTCTGGAATGCCAACAAGGGATCAGGTGCCTGTCAGGTAGTGCTGGCACAGCCCCAGCCCCTCGTGGCACAGCCAGACCTGTCCCAGAACCTCCAGTTCCATTCCCAGCCGGGCTGGGAAGGATTTTCCTCTCTCCATCTGCTCCAGGAAGGGAAAGGGGCAGAGTTGAGCTTCACTCAGAGCTTTACCTTGAACCACAGAGCTCCAAAACAACCCTAATCCCTCCCTGGGAGGGGGGTAAGGCCCTGGTACAGGTTGCCCAGAGAAATTTTGGATGCCCCTGGATCCCTGGAAGTGTCCAAGGTCAGGTTGGATGGGGCTTGGAGCAACCTGGGATAGTGGGAGGTGTCCCTGCCCATGGCAGGGGGTGGGATTGGATCTTTAAGGTCTTTTCCAACCCAAAACACACTGGGAATTCCACAATTAAATCTTGCAGTGACTGTGCAGATCCAAACCTTTGGTGTGATTAAACCAGCACATTTTTGATCATTATTCCATTACTGGAAAAATCTGGGAGAGGCCTGGGACAGGAGCAGCACCTGTGTTTTTAAGTGCAGCACAACGTGGAAATAGGAAATAAGAGTGGGTTAATGGGGTTATTTTAAAGAAAATATCAGGTTTGACAGGGCTTGGAGCAACATGGTCTGATAGGAAGTGTCCCTGCCTGTGGCAGGAGCTGGAACTGGAATTTTAAGGTCCTTCCAACCCAAATCATTCCATGATTGTGTGACTAAAGAAAATACCAGGTTTGACAGGACTTGGAGCAACATGGTCTGATAGGAAGCGTCCCTGCCCTTGGCAGGAGGTGGAACCTGAATTTTAAGGTCCTTCCAACCCAAATCATTTAATCACAGATTAAATGTGTGATTAAAGAAAATTCCCAGTGCAGCCCCCCCTCAGCTGAAACCTCACATTCACCTCGTGGGGCAGAACAACCTGAGCACTGCTCACCACTGCACTGCTTCAAACCATTCCTCCCTCAAAATGGGAATTCCAAAACGGGAATTCCAAAGCTCCCCGTTTTAAAATAAAAAGGAGAAACCAAGGCAGGGTTTTTTTCAAGGAAAAAAAATGAGGAAATAAAACGTTGCTGGTTTCCTTGAACTGTCTCAGCAGCAGCCTGGGGGGGCTCTGGTGGGTTCCCCCTTTTGGGAGAACATTCCCATGACATTCCCAGTTGGATCCAAGCCTTCCCAGGGCTCCCCACCTCCGAGGCCTCGATGGCCAAATCCATCTCCTCGTCGCACACGTTGGACCAGAACTCGATCCCCTGCAGAGCCACCTCGTCGATGTCGCTCTTCATCGCCTCGATCGTGATCTGGGAATGGGAAAACACCAAAAAAAGGACATTTTAACAAGTTGTTTCTCTTGGAATCCACGTCCTGACTTTGGGCCCGTGGCTGAAATCGGAGGCCACACCGGGGTTTTTGTTCTTGGAGGTTGCAAAGGGGTTGTGTCATCAGCCCTGAGCCCCCTGGGAGGGCTGGAGGGCACGGACAAAATCAGCATTGGGAGCCTCAGGGCTGAATCCTGCTGGGGGTTACGGGGGTTTATAGGGAGAGGGATTGCCAGGATCCAGGAAAAGGGAGGGAAATGAGGAATACCAGAGGAAGAAAAGTCAGGAAGACAAGAAAAATGAGGAATACAAGAGCAACTAAAATCAGGAATACCAGAGGAAGAAAAATGAGGAATACAAGAGGAATTAAAATCAGGAATACAAGGGGAATTAAAATCAGGAATATAAGAGAAAGAAACATCAGGAATACCGGAGGAATTAAAATCAGGAATACAGGAGGAAGGAAAATGAGGAATACAAGAGGAATTAAAATCAGGAATAGAGGAGGAATTAAAATCAGGAATAGA